GGGGGGAACGTGCAGGTCTGTCCTTGCAGAGGAGGAAGAGCTTGTACCTGAATAAAACTTGGTCTGGCCACTGGACTGTTTTGGACTGAGGGGGGGGCTCTGCAACTTACCTGGCTGCTTCTTGCTCTGACCGAGGGCTGCTGGAAGCAGGGGGTGGGGCTTGTTGCATGTGCCCGCCCCCTGGGCTCTTTACTGCCGGAGCTCCGCTCCTGTGCGCTCCTGCAGGAAATGACCACTGCATAAGACTATAAAGCCTTTAGTAGCTGGATGTTGTGGGAGCTCTTGCTGGTGCAGAGCATAAGGGACTTTCTCATAACTTGCTTGGCTGCTGTGTTTGTTTTTTTATTATTATTAAATCAAATGGCCAAATGAGTGCTTGAGGAAAACACTGCATTTCTGGGACCAAGGTAGCTATATCAGAAAGGATGAGCTGGGTTATGCTCGTGTATTTCTCAGTCTTGAAAACACTCTCTTTCCTTCTCTTGTAGAGAAAGCCACTGATGTTTTGGTTTCCTATAAAAATCACCAGTTTGGGGTAAGTCCAACAGATGCTTTTAAGGACCCCATTTCTTCCCTTTTTGTTTTTCAGTATTGAGGATGGGATGGCTGATCCTCAGGGCTGCCAGCTCCAAGTCTGGAGATTCCTGGAGATTTGGGGGTGGAGCTTGGGGAGGGCGGGGTCTGGGAAGGGGAGCAACCTCCATTGGGTACAATGCCGTAAAAGTCCACCCACCCACCCCGCCCCCCCCAAAGCAAGCCACTTTCTCCGGGGGAGCTGGTCTCTGTAGTCTGGCAATCAGGGGTAATTCTGGAGATCTGCAGTCCGGCAGCCCGGCCGAGTCCCCTCGCGTTACAGCCTCTGTCATGTTTTCCTGGCCGGCCTCTGTTATGTTTTCCTGCCAGTTTGGTGTCGTGGTTAAGTGCGTGGACTCTAATCTGGGAGAATGTAAAAGGCATCCTGTTAAACAGGGCTTCTTCCTGATATGCCGAAGAGGTACTATTAGGTTTATGTATAAAACCTTGCTCCCTGACATGTTGTGGTCAGCTCCACCTCTAGTTTGGTGTCGTGGTTAAGAGCGGGGACTCTCATCTGGGAGAACTGGGTTTGATTCCCCACTCCTCCTCCACATGCAGCTGCTGGTGTGAACTTGGGTCAGTCACACGTTCTCTCAGAGCTGTTCTCTCAAGGGCAGTCCTCGAAAGAGTTCTCTCAGCCCCACCTACCTCTCAGGGTGTCTGTTGTGGGGAGGGGAAGGGGAAAAAGGAGAATGTAAGCCACTCTGAGATTCATTCAGGTATTGAAGGGCGGGGGTATAAATCCAATCTCCTCTTCTTCTTCTCCTGTGGCAGCCATTTTGTGGTCAGGTCGACCTCCTGTGGCAGCCATTTTGTGATGGGGCCCACTGCCCTGTGTCAGAATTCCAACGATGGCCACAGGTTCAAAAAGGTTTGGGACCCCTGCCCTGCTGGGTGGTCTTTGGCCTTGCTGAAGAACTAAGTCGCTGTGGAAAGACACGCTCTCCGCCTCCCTTTCCCCCATCAGTGACAAGGGAATAGTGTTTGGCTGCATGATGGGGTGGTTGCCAGTGGTGGGGTCCGTAGCAGGTGTGCTGGCTCCTGGCCGCCAGGCTGTCTCTACCCAATGTCCTTCCGTTAAATTAGGACCGCCTCCTTCCGTCTAGGTTCTTCAGGAGCTGCAGAGCGTCGACAAGGCCTGGAAAGAGGGGGGCGGCTCTTCCTCAGAGGTACAGTGGATCATGGCCCAGATGGAAGACTTGCTGCAAGACAACAGGTGAGGGGCACGATTGTCTGCCCGGGAGGGGAGCCTGCAAAGGAGCCGCTGCCCAGGAACTTGCAGAGGTCACCTGTATTAGGGCAACAGGTGAGGGCAGAATGCAGGCGTGAGCGTCAGGACATTGCTGGGTCAGAGCAGAGAACCAGATGCCTTGGGGAGATTCGCAAACCAGGGATGACGCCTTAATCCACACCTTGTTTTTGTCTGTATGGAGTCTAGACTTTTGATTACAATTAATAGCCTTCTATAATTGACTTCTAAAGGGGCTTATACTCATTAGGCTAACATCATCATGTGTTGGGGAGTTCAGCCTTATGCGTCAAAGTTCTTTTGCTGTAAGTTACAGTGGGGGTGCCTAAATGTTGTGGGGGAAGAGGGAAGGGCAAAGTGAGGCGTGAGTTCCGTTCCTTGAACTATAACCAGCAAGCCAGACCAAATACCTGTTCTTTTATTGAAAAAATAGTAAGAAATACAGGAATGTAAAAATTAACCCTACAAATACTGTAAAAACAAGTGCTAAAATTAAGATGTTCTAGTGAGCAGTAGTTTCAAAAGAAGCCAGGGTTTCACGGTTTGTCTCCCCGCTTTTTGGGATTATCAAAAGCCTGTTGTCACATAGACCTAGAAACCTCACCTAGTCTTCTTCTGAGACTTCCATCCAGAGAAATCCGATTTGCATATCACAGTTGCACATATTTATAGAAAAACATCCATCTTATCTTTTTTTCTAAACCTGTTCTATCACAGTCATGTGATTACTATCTAGGTAAGTGACTGGTTCTGGACTGAATATGAGATAATCGGCAAATGAGCCACTCAGCAAGTGCATCTGAATTACATCTGATCTAGCAAGATAAGAAGGCCAATCTCAACTCATGACCTCTCTCTCAGAAGGCAGCTAGCCTAACTTTTCTATAACTGTTCCAGTAACACTGTCCCAGATTAAAGTGACTCTAAGCAGACAGAGTTCACTGACAGTTGAAGAGTGCTTGAACTCTTGGCTAACGTGCAAGGTGTCTTTGATCAATGGAATTTCCACATCAGTTTTATTTGGAGTCCTGGCAGCTGACAGGCCAATGGCTGAGGGAGCGCATGCAAATCTCGCCACCCCAAAGGACAGGAGCCACTCCAAATCCCTTTTATATATAAGGAGAGATGTATAGATTCAGGTGGGGTCACGGTGTTGGTCTGAAGCAGCAGAGCAAAGACTGAGGCCAGGGGGCACCTTTAAAACCAACAAAGTTTGATTCTGGGCGTCAGCGTTCGTGTGCATTCCCACTTCTTCAGATACACTGAAACGTGTGTGTGTGTGTGTGGAAGGGAAGGTGGCACGATATAGCCCGGTATCCTCAGATCTTGGATCCTGAGCTGGGTCGCTACTTGGATGGGACACCACCAAGGAAGTCTCTGCAGGAGAAGGGAGTGGCCAACAACCCCTGCTTCTCCTTTGCCTTGGAAGCCCCTGGCTGGGATCCGCATGAGTCAGCTGTGACTTGATGGCACTTAGTGTGCATGCGTGGGTACGGAATATACATTCGTACCTACCATATGAGCGCATGTAAAGTGCTGTTGCCGCTGACCTACAACCCTGCAGGATTTTTCAGGCAAGCCGAGGGTAGGCATGGGGTGTGGCCTAATATGCTAATGAGTTCCTGTTGTTGGGCGTGGCCTGTTATGCTAATGAGTTCCTGCTGGGCTTTTTCTACCAAAAAAGCCCTGATAACTACCATGGTTCATGTCGCATCCAGGCCATCATGTCCACAGTTATGTCCTCGCTGTGGAGCTTTCGTGAGTCACTGCTCACACCTTCAGATACATGAAAAATAGCAAGAGTCCCGGAGCACCAGAAAGACTAGCGACATTTGTGGCAGGGTAGAAGAAGAAGAAGAGAAGAGATTGGATTTACACCCCGCCCTTCACTACCCAAAGGAGTCTCAGAGCGGCTTACAAACTCCCTTCCCTTCCCCTCCCCACAACAGACACCCTGTGAGGTAGGCGGAGCTGAGAGAGCTCAGAGAACAGCTCTGAAATAACTTGTGACTGACCCAAGGTCACCCAGCAGCTGCGAGTGGAGAAGTGGGGAATCAAACCCAGTCCTTCCAGATTAGAGTCCGCGTACTTACCCACGACACCAATCTGGCTGTTCAAACTAACCTTGGACTTCCTGAGTGGTCGCCAATCCAAATACTAACCACGGTTGACCCCGCTTCGATTCCAAGATCAAATGAGATCGGGCTAGCCTGGGCGATCTGGGTCAGGGCCTATACCCTATACAAGGATCTAATTCACATGATTATTGAGAATAATTGTGGTGTAAAGTCAGAGCTACGGTGGCTCAAGTGGTTAAGACGCTGAACTGCAGGCTGTGGAAGGTTGGTAGTTCAGCAGTTCGAGACCTGAGTGTGCCGCATGATGGAGTGAGCTCCCATCTCTAGTTCCAGCTCCTGCCAACCTAGCAGTTCGAAAGCAAGAAATTGCAAGTATTCAGTGGGAAGGTAACAGCATTCCGTGGGCCTTGGCGTCTAGTCATGCCGGCCACATGGCCACGGAAATGTCTTCGGACAGCGCTGGCTCTTCGGCTTGGAAACGGAGATGAGCACCGCATCCCTAGAGTCGGACTCGACTGGCTTTCGAGTAAGGGAACCTTTACCTTTAAAGTCAGAAAAGGTCCTTTAACGACCCTTGATTAACTTAAGACCTGTCAGCTGGCACTCTGGAAGCTCTCCGAACTGAATGAGAAACCAAACCCTGACGGTTGATGATTTGTGGTCTTCTGGGGACGTAGCTCAGTGTTGCACCACTGCTGTTTTGTTCCTAGGCCGTCGTAGATAGGCCGGGCGAGAAAGTCAAGAACAAAATCTGTCCCTCTTTTATTGGTGATGGAAAGCATCCTCATGTCGCAGCCGATGTATGTTCAGGGGTGGTCTGCCCTTGCCTGCCTCTGCGCAGCGACCCTGGACTTCCTTGGTGGTCTCCCATCCAGATGCCGACTGCTTAGCTTCTGAGGTCTGATGAAATCGGGCTGTCCTGAGCTGTCCAGGTTAAAGCAGAGGAACAGAAGTGGGTTGCATTGCCTGCCTCTGTGTAACAACCCTGGGTTTCCTTGGTGGTCTCTCATCTGAGTCCTGACCACATCTGGCTCCGCTTAGCTTCCGAGATCAGACAAGATCAGGCCAGCCAGATGAATCCGTCCTTTATTAGGACTTTCCAGATTGTCGCACAACATGGCACAAGCTTTCGAGCTCAGCAGAGTTCTCCGTCAAGCTGGATGTTACCAAAAATTTTAGAAGATGAGTGGGAAGCAGAATTTTCCAGGCCATGATGTCAAGGTCTGGCTTTCCAGGCATCCTCTGTGAGACGCAGGCAGGCAAGATGCTTAACCTTTACTGCTGGTGTCAGGTGACAGCATGGGACGAAGGCCTCCCTTTTTGGTTGACTCTCTGGGACTACAGAGGCCAGCTCAGGTTCATCCAAAGTGCCGCTGAGGCTGAAGCCAGGCTTTGTTTCTTTGTAGAAGTGAACGTTCCAGGTTCCAATTTTACTTCTGCAAAACCAAGAGCAATCAGACGTGATGGAAAGTTCCAAGGTGCGGAACGTGGGGGAAGTGCTTTTTGAGAAGTGGATCCTTTCAGGAAAGAAGCAGAAGCTCTTCGCTGTCTGTCTCTCGTCATAACCAGCATCTGCTGATGCTTGGTCAGTTGGGCTGAAAGAGGGCTGGCCCCTGGCCCGTCAGGGGGTACAAGTCCTCATGTGTCAAACGAGTGCCCATCCTCACTGCATTCCACGTGGCTTTTGCACTCTTTCTAAGTAGTCGAGGGCTCAGCTCATTCCTGTTTCACTCTTGCTCTTTCTGGTGCCTTTTTCTGTTTCTCTGGGAGCTTTCCTTGGGCCTTTGATGTCTCTTTTCCTCCTCCTCCTCCTCCTCCTCCTTATGCATTAGATTTTTGAATCACCCATCCCTGCTACTGGAGGGCTCTGGGCGATGTACAACAGTGAATAAAAACATAAAGAAGAAGAAGAAGAGATTGGATTTATACCCCGCCCTTCACTCGGAGTCTCAGAGCGGCTTACAAACTCCTTTCCCTCCCCACAACAGACACCCTGTGAGGTGGGTGGGGCTGAGAGAGCTCAGACAGAAACTTTTCTTTTTTTCAAGGACAGCTGTGCCAGAGCTTGTGACTGACCCCAAGGTCACATCAGCAGGTGCAAGTGGAGGAGTGGGGAATCAAACCCGGTTCTCCCAGATTAGAGTCCGCGCACTTAACCACGACACCAAACTGGCTCTCTACAAATACAATAAACTCTACAATTAAAATACAACAGTACCAATAAATAAAGTCCAAACTCCAGATGGCGAAACGAAATCACTCCCCATTCCGGACTGCCCGGCTACCTCGCGGGCAGGGGAGGAAGAGGGACGACTGATCCGGAGAGCAGAAGAGGGGGCCGGCTAGAATGAAGACTGTTGCTGCCCTCAGCCAAAAGCCTGCCGGAACATCTCTGCCTTACAGGCCCTGCGGGATGGCACGAGATCCCGCAGGGCCCCGGTGGTGTTCGGCAGAGAGTTCCACCAAATTGGAGCCAGGACTGAAAAAGCCCTGGCTGAGGACAGCTGGACATCTTTGGGGCTGGGGACCACCAGCCGATTGCTATCCGAAGAGCAGGGCCGCCCCCAGGTTTTTTTTTGCACACTAGCCCCCCCCCATTCTGGAGCCCCTGGAGGGTGGCTCCCCTCGAACCAGCGCTCTTCCTCTTTCACTCT